TTTGGAATGACAGCTTTAGACAATTGTCTTTCTCTTCTTACTTGACACAGAAAGAAGTCGTTTAGTTAAATGATAAAAAATAGAAAAATAAGTTTATTACAAGAGTACGTAACATTGAAAATCATGGGTGGCTGTAGCACAAGGAGGGTGGTTTTTGAGGAGGGTAAGTTTTTTTTTTGTGCTTGGTGGATATTCAAAAACCCTTTTTTCTTATAGGCTGAAAGATTAACGAACTGTTAGCAACTGGCTCGTTTATAAAATTCATTGGAATAGAAAAAACACTTATTTTGCAACAAAACCTTTGACCAGTAATTTTGCTGCATGAACACACCTGCTCTCAAGTGAGTAATGTGGTGCAACAAACACTTATGGAGATTGGAGGTCAAGTCTTTCTATGTGAAACATATTCTCCATCTCTGGCATCTTTCTACGAGAAGCGTATTCTCCAGATCTGGCATCCTCTACTGATACTTGTTATATTTCAATAAAAAAATATTACAGACTTGTCAGCATTTCCAACAATTTCCTGGTATGGAATAATTCATCAAAACTAAATTGGAATTACTGTATTTTCCGGCTTACAAGACGCACTTATTTCCTTAAAAATACTCTGAATATACGTGTGCATCTTCCAAGACGAATGTAAGGCAACACCCAGGCTCAAGTAAGCTTGGACAGTCACTTAATTGGCTGAACTGATAGGGACGTGGATTTGTATGTTGAGTCATTACACTATAATGTTAGCTATCTATCTAATTCAGCCTTTTATATGATGTAACCTCAGTACTTAGTTGTTACAAGAATTTCTAAGACTATAAACCTTCCTGGAGCCGAGCCACAAGCTCAAACATGCTTTTTTTTATTAGCAGCGGTAGGATCCTTTCTGCGCTTGACTAGTGTGCCATGGTCATACAAACAGAATCGGACGAGTGATTAATATAAACAATACGTGGCACCAGTATGTGAGTGACGCACGGTGAATTAATTTTTTTTCTTAGAAATTTCTTTCCAATATTAGGGTGCGTCTTCGAAGCCGCAGCATCTTTTAAGCCAGAAAATCCGGTATTATTTTATAATGTAATTAGTTCGGTTCACAGTCCTGTTTTTTGAATAAATGTAAAGTTTTATCTCTTGCTTCCTGTTTGGCACTGGGTTTCCGGTTCCTTCTAAAGTCTACTTTAACTCTATAATTCTAACTTTCCTACTTTTATTTATTATTTATATACTTTTTTCCTTAATAGCAGATAGGTTCGCCTATCGCCCGGTTGGTCCGAAAGTCTTGTCACCATAAAAAAAAAAACGAAAACAAAAAAACAACAAAAACAAACAGAACAATTGAAGAACAAGTGACACACTAATACAAAGCACATGTACTGGATTCAGTTTATTCCCTTTCAATGACTCTGTCGCACATCGAGAAGGTTTATATACTGCGGTGCCATGTCCTCTGTGCTATTTTACGAAGCTTTGTTGTGGGGGTGCCAAGTCTTTCGAACCAATGTGTACATCGCAGCTTAACCAGAATCTGGTTGAGAAAAAAAAAATTCTTCTATCGCCCCTGTAGGCAATCAATTTTGGTTTAATATTGTAATAGCTAACGTTTCCCAATCTTAATAGTATCTTTTTTGATTAACAAAGCAATGTACTGGATTCAATTTATTCCCTTTCAAACGAAAATTTATAAACTTACCTCTGCAATGTTTAGGTAGGAGAAAAACATATTAAGATAAGTCATAAATTGTGGCCAGGGAAAACGTCATAGAGAAGTTAAGTCATAGTTTCATTTAAAGCAGGTAATATTTTGAATAAAATAAATAATATTTTAATTTATTTAATTATATTAATAAAATAAAAGTCAAAATAAATTTATAATAATGAATAAGTAATATAATTAAATTATAATTTAACTTACTATAAATTATAAGACTTAGAATTTAGTTTATAAAAATGACATTAAAGTAAGACCCGGGATAAACGTAGACCATTCTAGAAGAAAACAGACTTGTTTATTAAATAAGAATTATTTGATTAATATAAAGCAAATTAAGTACGATTAAAATATTACTTATTTTTTATATATTATGAATTCTGTAATTAATATATAGATTTTGTTTTACTTTAAATTATACTTTATTGAGATATATTAAATAAATTAAAATATATTTATATTTTTTTAATCTTTTGTCACTTCAGAATATAGACTACCATGCCATCTGTCAAATTTTATTTCTTTATCATTTATGGACCGTCATGAGTTCATCGAAAGATAGTGCAGTGGTTTCCCATTCTCCTTTTCACGGATTTGACTTTAGAACCTCCATTCTCCTAAGCTAGCTAACATCCAAGATTGGAGAACCTATTCTCCCCTTCTATTTAACCCGTAGTTGGGGGAAGCTAGATAGATTCAATGTTTTTTCTAAGGGCATTAGTGAAAGTAAATAGCCGGAAGTTGAACTCAGCTCACCGATTTTACATCCCGCACCGATAAGCGTTATGTTACCGGTACACATTTAAATGTCGAATACATAATTGTTCTTCTCGTAGACTGGTAGCAACCAAGTCTACTGCATTCATTCCGCGCCACTGTTTAATCCATAGCTGGGAAGAAAGAGAGAAGTTGGATTTATTCTTTTCCAAAATATGAACGTGAAGTCAACGAACTCGGATAAAATTTGAATTCAATATTCGCGCATATTTGGATTTCTCGAACGATGAGTTACCATTATTTACACTATTTATATTCGGACTGTTATCCTCAAATTTGTTGCCATTAACGTAACGTTTCGAACATCCGCCTGGCCTTCATCAAGTGATCGATACGGGTAGCAGAGAAATCTGAAGTGAACCCTTTATTTAATCTACAAGTGTGGACTGTTCTATTTATCCTTCCTATGTCTAGGGTATATTGTTTAGTTTTTTTTATTTTTTTTTGGTCCTGATCAGTTATTGTCCTCCCTTGTTTCTACTGAGTCCGTGTACATACTGCCCGGCCCAGAGAATTGAATTACTATATCGCCAAACAGTTTCATCCACTAGGCTATTGGTTGGTTACCCGGATCGATATACACATGATGAAGGCCGGGCGGGTACAACGACCTAAACGTGATAATGACAAAAATGATGTGGAAAATAATTTGAATGTAAATAGTGTAAATACTTATTTCAAATGATAATATTACTTATTTTGTCTATAAGCTGAAAATATGACTTATCTTAATTTCTTATTTTTTCATACAATTAATATATCAACAGTTTAAATATTATAATCACTATACACCTTTGCCTTAAAGGTTTTGCCTTTCAATGGTGTCATGATTGTCTAACTTGTAACACAAATACTTAATAATTAGTAATTGTTTCGATAAAATTTGCTTTGTTTCAAGCAAAATATAAGTAAATGACTTTAAAGGTATATCTTTATAGGGTATTAATTAACGAGTTCGTCTAGTATAGCATTACTACAGTGTATGTGGTCGAGTGGTTAGAACGTTGCATTCTGACCACGAGATTCGGGTTCAAATCTCACCATGGTCGATTTGTCTGGAAGATGACTTCTTGATGTTATCGGCCTGGAGGAGACGATCCAGCGGCACATTTGGAAAACGCCTGAAAACCATTCCACGGGTTGACCCAAGCATTCTGAGTGTAATTGGGTAGACGTAACCGAGGGTTTGAGTGTTCTGGTCTTGTTGAGATTGTTGGTCATGCTGGATAACACGCTCTCTCCCAGAAACTGTAACTAAGGTCTGATCAGCATAGTTGCAGTATAAAACACAGGTGAACTCTGTGGTTATTGAATAAACACAAAATGTGCCTGGGCAAGCATCTGCAACAGGGATTAGCTAGCCGCCCTAGTAGTCGTATATCCTCGAATACGAGTGACCAGCCAGACGTTAACTACAGTGTAATGAGTTCAATTCTTACTGAGCCCCCTACTCTTGGGGAAATCTGACAGATTAAGATAAATATAGTAAATGCGTATTTTTCTTCCATGTCTCTTCAGGACGTAGGTGAGCACTCTCCACAACTTCCTATCCTTCGTATCTTTTAGAAATATTTGTCTTTTTATTATTATACCTCCCTATTCTGTTCTCCATTTACATATTCATTAAGTAGGTTATTCCCTGCTTTACTATTTTCTTCTTGCTTTTAATATATCATATGAGTGTCAAATTTTCCAAGCCTCTTCTTCTCACTGTGTAATTCCAATCAATTTTAAAGTCATTTTGCTTTCATATTTGCTTAATACTTCCTCGGTACTATTAGTATCCTTCTGTAGAACCACATTTGCCTAAAGTTGCCTTAGGTCGCCTTAAGTCTTCTTTTCATTTGTAATTGTTCAGCATTCAGTGTTATATAGGACAACCGATGTTACATAAAATAATTCATCACTATTTTCTTCGCTTCTAAAGAATTTAAAATATATATATATTATCTTTTTTAAAAAAATTATTAGATAATAAAAATTAAAAAAAATAATGATGTATTTATTAAATAAAAAAAAATGATATATATTTATTTATTTTCTATTTCTTAAAAAAATCGAAGTACCTGGAGTATTCCGCAAAATGTCGTTCTTTATAGATATACGCGGTAAACTTGACACTCTCTGCTGAGACGTGGGCGCCACCAGTAATAAGTAGATGACAAGTCGAGCATCACGAAATGGCCAGGCGTAAATTGGGCTCGTCGGGTGCAGGCTTTTTGCCTTAAGTCACCAGGTAAGCTGAAAAAGTACAAGCGCCACCTGCACAAGGTAGCAACTGGTTTTTCAGGCACGTGCCACATCTCTACCTGTCGTTCGAGTGGTAACCTGCTCCCCTTTATTTCTCTTCTTTTTTTTTACGTGTTTTTTTTTTCTTTTTTTTTTCTTTTAAATATTCTTTTGTATATTTTTCGTTTACTCTTTCCATTCCGTTTCTGAAAGAATGTTTTTTTAATCCTTCCTCTCTTTGTCTTATTTTTTCTTTCCTTTCGATATTTTTGTTTTATTCGTGTCTATGTCTTTACACACGGATTCGTTACTTAGATTACCTCAACATTTTCTGGATTCTTTCTTTTCTTCTTTCTTTCATCGTTCTTTCTTTCTTCATATAAATATATTATTTCTGCCGCCTCTGTTTTATAGGCCCTTTCTTTCTTTTTTTTTCTTTTTTCTCTTTTCATGCACATATTTTATGTCTGTTGATTTTTATAACTTTCTTTTTTTCTTCTTCCTTTCTTTTACCTTCTGTCTTTTTTTTATCTCTTTGTTTCTTCATATATATTTTTATTTCGGTTGCCTGTTTTCTATGTCTCTCCTTCCTTGCTTCCTTCCTTCCCTCTCTTTTCATGCGTATATTTTACTTCTGTTGCCATTTATACCTTTCTTTTTCTTTCTCTCTCTTTTTCTTTCTCTCTCTTTTTCTTTCTCTCTCTTTTTCTTTCTCTCTCTTTTTCTTTCTTTCGCTTTCTTTTTTCTCTCTTTTCTTTCTTTCTTTCTTTCTTTCTCTCTTTTCTTTCTTTCTCTCTCTCTTCTTTCTTTCTTTCTCCATTCTTTCTTTCTTTCTCTCTCTTTTCTTTCTTTCTCTCTATATTTTCTTTCTTTCTTTCTCTCTTCTTTCTTTCTTTCTTTCTCTATCTTTTCTTTCTTTCTCTCTCTCTCTTTCTTTCTTTCTTTCTTTCTCTATCTTTTCTTTCTTTCTCTATCTTTTCTTTCTTTCTCTCTCTCTGTTCTTTCTTTCTCTCTCTCTCTTTTCTTTCTTTCTTTCTCTCTCTCTTTTCTTTCTCTTTTCATGCGCATATTTTACTTCTTTTTCTCTTCTTTCGTTTTTCCTTTCTCCTATTTTCTTTTTTTTTTCTTTCTGCTTAAAAGCTTTTTTTTCCAGACGTAACTTATTACATCACAAAGTAGACAAAATGGAGAAATTAAGTAAAAGAAAAAAAAAAACCTTTTGTTTAAACATATTTTTTTTTAGCTATTTTTCTTTTTATCTTTTTCGTCTTCCCTCCTTTCTTTCTTTCTTTCTTTCTTTCTATAATGCGACAAATCTTCGTCTTTCACCCCATACTATAACTTCTTAAGTTCATCCCCACTGCAACCTCATGACGACTCCACTCCTCAAAATAACAAAGTCTCCCCCTTCTCATGACCCTTCCCCCCTCAATGATATAACACATTTTACGAAAACAAAATCTACAGGTTTGTGTTCGTTTAATTTAATTTTCTTTTTACTCATTATAGATATTTTTCAGATTGCATCAAGCTTCTTTTTTTCTGTGTGCCGTGTCCATTCAGGACGTGATTGATTATACCTCTCCACAACATCCTATCCTTTGTCGTTCTTTGCTGTTTCTCGTTTTACCATCCCTCCCCGCTCCCTTTTCTTTTATCCGTTTGCACAATCTTGTTATGTATGTTTCTCGACATTTCTCTTTGTTCTCCTTGCCTTCGATATGTCTTGTGTGTGTCAAATTTTCCAGGCCTCTTTTCCTCATATGTCTCAAGAAATTTCAACTGTCACTTTCAGATTTTAAGTAGAATTGTCGTTTTTGTTTCCATTGTCATGGCAAAAAGAAATATTAGAAAAAGTGTAATTGAAGAAAAATCATAAGATACGTTTTGTTTGGCATAAGAAAAGTCATAGAAAGATATGTGTTAACTCCCGGCTTGTAGTTAAGATAGTCATATTTTCAAATCAGTATTTTTAATAAACTAGTAGGATTTGAATGTAATATATTTTAAGCAAAGAATAAACCATTTCATGTATAATAATAAATTAAGTGGTATTTTAATATTCTAGTTAGGTTATTATTTTACTTACTATAAAATAAATTATAAATCAAATAAAACAGTTATCGTTCAGATTATTAAAATATATGATATGCTTAGAGTGCAAAGGTTAGCGGCTCAGAAAGAAAAATCAGCAAACCGATTTCGAGTTTCGGTCGAGTTCGTTACGTTTGCATTGGCATAAATCCCTCCACGTATGGGTTAAATACCAAGGCAAGCTCGGCTCTCTAGTCATGGTTGACAAGTGTTGTAGAGTAGTTTTCACAGTGGAGGCTTGTATTTCAATAAGTCGTCCTAAATTAGGTTCGACGTACAAAACGTTAGGAACTTGAAATAAGAGTTAATGACGCAGCAAATCTAGTTGTGATGGATGATACTTCAATGTCCGACAGACTCACTCAACACCACTGAGCCCAACTGGCCACTGCTACTACTACTTATTGTCTGAGGTAGAGTCTATTACAATAGAATAGGTATTATGGTATAACAACAAGACAATTCTATAAGCAAAATTGGTATGTCACCATAGTGAAGCTAATGCATTGAAAAGATTATGGAGTCAACAATTAACAACGGTGAATAGTTATAGATTATAATCTCAACTCGGTTTGAATTATAAACTTGAATTCTGGTTCACTTTCTTTTTCAAATCATAATTTAAATTTTGGTAGTTAGCATAGAAATGTCCCATCTTGAGACACTGAGTATGTAGTCCTGACGTGGCTCTTACTATACCACCATTGAAAAGGTTATGGAGTTCAAATTTACTGCGGTGTGGAGTTTTGAACTCTATAATCGCAACTGAGGTTGGATTTAAAAAAATATATATATTACTATGAAATTAAGACCCAGGAAAAACATATTTCTCTCGGAATATATCGTCAGCTGCGCCAGGGAAAACATTGATTTTATTGTTCATCATCATCAATGAGTTGTCTTTTAAATGACGATCCAATTCGTTGGGAAAGTAATATGTCCCAGGACAAAGACATCTCACCAGCCACTACAAAGAACCGTTGCTTAAACTGTCTTCATAGCCTTCTACGAATACACTTCAGTTTCTACCCATTTCACTAACAACCAACGGACAAAGATGATATGTCTTATAAAATATCCTGTCAACCATTTCATACCAGTTATTACTTTCACTGCCTTTATCACTAATTGTCTTGAATCCCGAACTGATTCACCGTTAAATATCCCCACCCCCAACAAAAAAGAAATAGCTACATTTATAAATTAGATATTGAAGTAAAATTCAAGATGACACAATATTTTACGTGTTTATTTTGTTTTAATGGTATTCATTATAATAATCCATTTTTTTAATGGTATTCATTATAATAATCCATTTTTTAACGGTATTTATTATAATCTATTAATCCATTCATTTTTAACTAAAGTTAAGAAATTTAAAGTGGACCAATATCGCAGTTAGAAAAAAAAATGTATGTTATCAGAAAAAATGGCTGGACAAAAGACTTTTTTTTTGTAACAAGAAACTCTCTTTTTATTCCACAGCAAACTTGATCCACACATAAATTTATCACAGCTTTACTTTTTTTACGTCTTCTTTCTTATTTACAAGACCTATTTTCTTCCTTTTTAAACAAGGTTTATACTTTTCAACCGATATCATCTTTCAATTTTTTTCTCTTTTTTCAATAGGTTCTTCTTAACGCAAAAACGAATAGATTATTTATTATGCTTAACCTAGTCTGACATAAGGCTACTGTAATGAGATACCCAATGAACATGAAACTTTATGCAGTGTTTTATCTGTTGCATAACCATTCTTCTCATGTACACGATCTATATATATCCATATTTTCTAATATAGCTAATGCCTTATTGTTAAAAAGCAATTCATTCTTCTATATTTTAGATTATAAAATTTTTTCTTTTTTGGAAATAATGATTTGGTGATATCTACCAATCAGCTCTGGTTAAGGGAGAGAAGAGGTTGATTTATACTTTCCCAAGGGTATTCGCGCGTAGTGAATTCCCCGAAATTGAACCGGTCTCCAATCAATCAATTCCGGCCATTATCCGATCAAACAGCCCCTGGTATAAAATATTGCTTAACGGGAGATCGTACGGGAACCAGTGTTCAACTAGCGTTGAATTTAGTACAGATGTTTTTATTCTTTTTTTACTCATGTTTATTCAATATATCTACCACCAGCTTCAATTATGGCGGCGATCCGACTTCTAAAATATTTACATGCGTTGATCAGGTATTCTTTACTCATGTCGCCTATAGCGTACCTGATAGCAGCTTTCCTTAGTATTTTGGGCGTACTCGTTGATCTGCTTCTCAATGACGTCCCATACCTAAGAATGTTAGGGGTAACATGATCGTGAAAGGGACGAACTTTGTTTAGCAAGCGCTATCGATTGAATCCCATGGTTGCCCCTGATAATACACGACATTAACGGCCCTCTCCTCATAATATAGGATTTGTATCTGATGTCTTTTTGCACTTCTGTTAACTCTGACACTTGGAGCTAATTGGCTCATCGATGATACACGGTACTTGCTGGAGTAACTAGACATTCACAGGGCATTTTTCTTATCTTAGACACGAAAGAGATGGCAATATTTACGAAGGTTGTAATCTCCAAGTCTGTGCAGTTGACTGCTAAAGCAGCTAAAATGGGATCCCTTTTCATCTCCTGCTCTAGAGTTGAAGCTTCTATGGCAAGACTGAAAAAAGAGACAAGAGTTTTATTTAAAGATGGTCAGTTATGGCTTTCTAAAGATGTGGTCTCAAATAAATGACGAAGAGGATAAGGATAAATGTGGAGAGTACAGTCTTAAAGACGGAGAGGATAAGGATAAAGGTGGAGAGACGGAGGGGGCTAAGATAAAAAGGAGAGTAGAGTCCTAAAGACGTGGGGGGTTAAGATAAAAAAGAAAGTACAATCCTAAAGACAGAGAGACAAAGATAAGAAGGATAATGGCGGAAAGTACAGACCTAAAAATGAGTATACTGTCCTAAAGACGGAGAGGAAAGAGATAAAAGTGGATTGTACAGTCTTAAACAAGGAGAGGACAAGGATAAAAATAAAGAGAGTACAGTTCTAAAAATGGAGAGGGCTTGGATAAAGATAGAGAGGACAAAGATTCAGAGTACTGTCCTAAAGACGGAAATGAAAGGGATAAAAGCGGATTGTACAGTCTTAAACAAGGAGAGGACAATGATAAAACAAGATAGTACAGTCCTAAAAACGGAGAGGACTAGGATAACGACAGAGAGGACAAAGATAAGAAGCGGAGTTCTGTCCTAAAGCGGGAGAAGACAAGGATGAAAAGGAGTGTACAATGATAATGACGAAAGCGTTTGGTCACAAAGAATAGGAATACAATGAGAGAGTGACGTGATAAACACAGCAAATACACGGAAATTGATTTGATATAGCCGATGTATCAGAGTTATAACTTATTGGTTCAGATATTCGGATAAAAAATGTGAATGTTGCTTTGAATAAGGTGAAGACAATGGACTCCATTGAACAAAAGATCAGTGCAATGCAATTCTCTCTCTCTCTCTCTCTCTCTCTCTATATATATATATATATATATATATATATATATATATATATATATATATATATCCCTCTCTTTTTACGTTAAATTTCAGTTGACAACAACGGAAAAAAAAAACTTTTTAATTATAACCCGGTTTGTTTGTTTTTTACACGATGTCACCGCCCATACGTAAGTTTTGTTTTCCCCATTTTAGGCCTCGCACAGTTTTATCACATATTGCGATCGATTTTAGCCGTAGTTAACGTCTGAGGCACACGCTCTGGTTTGTGCTTTTTCGCTTGTCACATTCCATCTTTGATGTAATAGGAGTCTGATTTCTGGGGCAACTAGTACGCCGGCGTATCTGGTCTGAATATCTACATTCAAAAATCACGCACGTATATATATATATATATATATATATATATATATATATATATATATATATATACTAATAAATACCGGCGTTGCACAATAACCAAAGTACTTTTTTTAAGTATTTCACTCCAAGCAAGGCGAGAGTGCCACCGGTTCGCAGGTAGTTACATAGAGTGAACGTGAGAGAAAAACTGTGTATAGAGATAAAATGATAAAAGATGAACGCGATTTCGTTTGATGATCAATTAAAAGGAATATGATTTAAAACCCTTGATTGTCATTATACCTAAATAAGACCAGCAATAATAATGTGCCAATATCTCACTGGAAAATATCCAATTTTTATAGGAAGGATACCACAAGAGATAGGTAAGAACATGA